TGATGATGATGATGATGATGATGATGATGATGATGATGGTAGTGATGATGGTGTCCCGATGATGATGATGATGATGATGATGATGATGATGATGATGATGATGATGATGATGATGATGATGATGATGATGATGATGATGATGTTGACGATGTTGATGATGATGATGGTGATGATGGTGATGGTGGTGATGATGATGGCGTCCCGATGATGATGATGTTGTTGATGATGATGTTGCTGATGATGATGATGATGATGATGGTGTCCCAATGATGGTGATGATGCTGATGATCCTGATGATGTTGATGATGATGAGATGGTGATGATATCATGACGATGATGATGAAGATGAAGATGATGATGATGATAATGATGATGATGATGATGATGATGATGATGATCATGATGATGATGATGATGGTGTCCCGATGATGATGAGGTTGATGATGATGCTGTTGATGATGATGGTGATGATGATGGTGTTCCGATGATGATGATATAGATGATGATGATGATGATGACGATGATGGTGTCCCGATGATGATGATGTTGATGATGAGGATGATGATGATGTGATGCTGATGACTTTGATGATGGTGTCCCGATGATCGTGATGATGATGCTGATGTTGATGATAATGGTGTCCCGATGATGATGATGATGATGGTGATGATGATGGTGATGATGATAGTGTCCTGATGATGATGGTGTCCCCATGATGATGTTGCTGATGATGATGGTGTCCCGATGATGATGATGATGATGATGATGATGATGTTGATGATGCTGTTCAGGATGATGATGAGATGATGATGATGATGGTGGTGTTCCGATGATGATGCTGATGATGTCCCGATGATGATGATGATGTTGTTGATGATTATGGTGACGATGATGGTGTCCCGATGATGATGATGTTGATGATGATGATGATGATGATGTCGATGATGATGGTGATGAGGTGATGATGATGATGCTGATGATGATGAAGATGGTGGTGATGATGATGATGGTGTCCCGATGATGAATATATATGAATATGACGATGCTGATGATGTTGATGACGATGATGACGATGATGTTGTTGATGATGATGACGTTGATTGTGAGATCGATGGTGATAGCGATAGTGAGATCGATAGTGAGACCGAATGTGAGATCGATTGTGAGATCGATAGTGAGATCGATAGTGAGATCGATTGTGAGATCGATAACAGATCGATTGTGAGATCGATCGAATGAAATAGATCGAGTGAGATCGATTGTGAGATCGATCGAGTGAGATCGATCGAGCGAGGCCGATAGTAAGATCGATCGTGAGATCGATAGTGAGACCGATCGAGTGAGACGTTGGTTCCTCCCCCCCCGAACCTCCTTATCACCCGAAGGGTGGTCGTATATGTATGCATATATACACTATTTTTATGTAAAAAAAAAGGAGTGAGGGTTTTCGGCCGTTGCTCGCCTCTGGAGGCCCTCGCTGGGCCCCGGGGCCGTCCACGAAACGGCTCGGAGCGAAGCGCAGGCCTGCAGGGAAAGGGTCCGGACTTCCGGGGAAAAAAGGTGTTTGTGGCCGCACACGCCTGCCAGGAAGAGGATACCAGGAAGGATACCAGGAAAAGATCTGGACTTCCCGGGAAGCCGTCCTGGAAAAAGCGGGACGTCGCAGGTCTGGGCCGGGTCGCCGGACCTCGGCAGGCAGGCCGGCAGAAGGCTGGAGCGGCGGAGTCGGCGGGCCAGCGAGGCCACCACCACCACCCCTCCTCCCCCTCCTCCGCCTCCTCCTCCTCCGCCTCCTCCTCCTCCTCCTCCTCCTCCTCCTCCTCCTCCTCCCCCTCCTCCTCCCTCCTCCTCCTCCTCCTCCTCCTCCTCCTCCTCCTCCTCCTCCTCCTCCTCCTCCTCCTCCTCCTCCTCCCCTCCTCCCCCTCCTCTCCTCCTCCTCCTCCTCCTCCTCCTCCTCCCCTCCTCCTCCTCCCCCTCCTCCTCCCCCTCCCCTATCGGGGCAGGAGAGCTGCCGCCGTCCCAGCCGGCTCTCCTGCGGCCCTCGGGCGGGCGGCAGACGGGGGGGGGCGGGGGGGGGGGAAGAGGCGGTGGGGGGGGCGGGGGGCAGCCGCAGCAGAGGACAGGGCAGTTTTTAATGCATAGGATCTTAAACATATAGGGTTTTTGATGCATGATTCATCTACTAATGAACCAATGCAGAGAAATTCGTAATTTTTTTAATACTACGTGCCTGTGTTTGTGATACATGATCCGCACGCGGAGCATGTATTAAAAACGGCACTGGACGCTCAAGGACCACCTGGTCCTGCCAGCGCCCAAGCCTGCAAGCGTCCATTCATGCCCCGCTGCCTACATCGAGTGAGGGGGACGTCCAGGCAGCGACCGCCTGCGAGGGGTTGTGGTTGTTTAGTCACCCTTCTCCGAATCGGGGCACTTGGGCTTCAAGGGGGGCGATAAACGGGGGGGGGAATGAAAAAACGTGCACCTCCCGTGCACCTTGTGGGCTCCTGGGGACCCTTCACGGCGCAAGAAAGGTGATCTCTCCTCCCCACCAAAAGGCACCGATACCGCTCGGGCCTCTCCCGGCGTGCGTTCTTACCAGAATTGCGAGGCGAATCCAGCGGTGGCGGCGAGGGCCTCCCAGGAGGCCGACAAGGGGGAAAACGGGCGAAGGTTAGGAGTATGGGTACATCTTCCTCCTCCTCCTCCTCTGGCCTCCTTTCATCGCACCACCCCTTGCGTAGCGCCCGGGGGAAAAAGGGCGCACGCCTTTCCGGCACCGTTCTGGGTGCCGGCAGCATCGGGTCCCCCTCGGGGCCACCCTCCCCTGCAGACTCAAGTCGGGCGTGTCCTCTACAGGGGGATTTGGAACGAAAAAAAAGATCGTCAAACAATACCCCAAAATAGCAACAAACAAACAAAAAACTCAAAATAATCCCCAGACTATTTTTTGACTCTTTTGGGATACTCCTCCTGCAGACTTAAGTCGGGCGTGTCCTCCTACAGGGGGATTTTGAACGAAAAGTGTAAAAGATCGTCAAACCATACCCCAAAATAGCAACAAACAAAAGAAAACTTAGGAGGAGGAGGAGGAAAATAATCCCCAGACTATTTTTGTTGACTCTTTTGGGATACTCCTCCTGTCGAGGGACGGGCCCGACTGATCTGCAGACCTCGGTCGCCCGTCGCCTCGCTGGCCCGCCAGAGCCCTGCCGGGGTCCCCCCAAAAGGCGCCCCGAGAGCGCCCCGGGCCTCTCTCGATCCTCGAGATCCCTCCCTGGGAAGCACAGAGACATACATCCTCTCGATATCCTCTCGATCCTCTCGATCCTCGAGATCCTCGGGATCCCTCGAGATCTTATATGTCCTCCTTGGAGGCGAGCGTCCGACCCGAACAGATAGTATACCCGTCTTGCGGTATGTCGTTTCCCGAGCGGTGTGGCCAGAAAGCGCACGCCACGACGCATGTACTAATTATAAGATTTCTCGGTGCACGCGCCGCACATATAGTATAAGTATGTTGGGGTGACGCCGACTCCCCATTCCTCTTCGACCCTCGTCTTCGAGGATCCTTGTGATGACCCCCCCTGGTAGTGCCCCCCCCCAGACCTGATGGCGTCGTAAAAAAAAAAACAGAACGCGGGGTGTTTCGCTATGTTCGACCTCTAGAGGCCCTCGCTGGGTCCCAAGACCGTCAGAAAACGACTCAGGATGAAACACCGGCCCCAGGGAAAGGGTCGGGACTTCCAGGGACGCCGTCCTGAAAAAATTACCCCAGTGCGACCCTACCTAGGAGTTGGAGCCCCTAGGAAAGCAGCATTAGTAGTCACGGTAAACGCCGTCCTCCTCCTTCTCCTCATCGTCGTAGTTGCCTTTGCTTTTGCTTGTTGTTGCTTTTGCTTGGTTTTGGTTTTGCTTTGCCTTTGCTTTGCTTTGCTGCTATGCTATGCTATGCTATGATATGCTATGCTATGCTATGCTGCACGATGATATGCTATGCTATGCTATGCTATGCTATGCTATGATATGTTATGCTGCGCTATGCTGCGCTATGCTATGCTACGCGCTATGTGATGCTAGGCTATGGTATGCTATGCTATGATGCGCTATGCTATACTATGGCAAGCTGTGCTATGCTGCGCTATGCTATGCTATGCTATGCTATGATATGGCATGAATGCGATGCAATGCAATGCAATGCTATGCGGCTATGCTATGCTATGCTATGCTATGCTATGCTATGCTGCGCTATGCTATGCTATGCTGGGCTATGCGATGATATGCTGAGCTAAGCTAAGCTAAACTAAGCTAAGCTAAGGTACAGCTACGCGAAGCTAAGACGAAGCTAAGCTAAGCTAAGCTAAATTAAGCTAAGATGAGATACGCAAAACTAAGGTAAAGGGGGCGCAACTGGGGGAACCGCGGGGCAGGGACCGGGGGAACCGCCCGGGGCGGGGACCACTGCCCGGCCCCTTTAAGCTAAGAGAGTAAGAACCCTCTAGGCAGAGCCTAGGTAGGGAATCAGGACGTCGCATGTCTGGGGGGGATCCTTGTGGTGGCCCCCCTGGTGGTGCCCCCCCGAACTCTAGGGGCAGCCGAAGGTACCGATACCGCCACTCCCCTGACCTCTCCCGCGGTGCGTTCTGACCAGGATCTCGAGGCGAATCCAGCGGTGGCGACGAGGGCCGCCCAGGAGGCCCAAAAAGGGGAGAACGAAGGAAGGGTAGAGGTATGGGTACCTCCTCCTCCTCCTCCTCCTCCTCCTCCTCCTCCCTCCTCCTCCTCCTCCTCCTCCTCCTCTTCCTCTTCTCCTCTCCTCCTCCTCCTCCTCCTCCTCCTCCTCCTCCTCCTCCTCTCCTCCTCCCTCCTCCTCTCTTTCTCCTTCTCCTTCCTCCTCCTCCTCCCTCCTCCCTCCTCCTCCTCCTCCTCCTCCTCCTCCTCCTCCCCCTCCTCCTCCCACCTCCCCCTGAACCACCCCGCCCACGTCCGCCCCGGCCCTCCACGGCACGGGCTCCCCGCCGAAAGCCCCCCCCCGGGATGGATGGCAGCCGCTCGCGGGGCGGCCTCGCGCCGCGGCTGCGGCGCGGCGTGGGCGGCGGGCGGGTCGTCGTTGGGAGACCCGCGCGCTCAGAAGGAGCCCCGCGTCTGGTTCCAGCAGCCGAACCTCGCGGTGCCCAGACCTCCGGCGGCCCTGGTGCCTTCGGCCCCGGCGCGGGCTCCGCGGCGCTGCCTCCGACAGGCTCGCGCCGCAAACAGATCAGGACGGCAAGTGTTTTCCGATGTTCGACCTCTATAGAGGCCCTCGCCGGGCCCCGGGACCGTCAAAACACGGCCCAGGATGCGAAACGGGCCCCGCGGGGAAAAGGGCCTGGGCTTCCAGGAGCGCCGTCCTGACAAAATCAGGACGTCGCATGTCTGGGTCGGCACCCGAGGGCCACAGCATCGGGCCGCGCGACCGCCGAAGAGTGGGACCCGGGGAATGAGTCGGCTGCGGACGGGACAGAACACAAATCACACCGTCGGAGGTCTGGGGGGGGGGGGAGCGCCCGCCCGCTCCGGCCAGCAGCTCTGGCTGCCCTCCCCTGCTCCCCGTGCTTATGACTCCAGCGTGGACGCCTCGAGGTCGGGCCCCTCCTGGGGACGGGCTCTTCACCCCGAGTCGTTGCTTGACGGTCCCCGGGGCCCGGTGGAGGCCCCGAAGGGCCGAACACCGCCGAGAAGCGTCGTGTCGTGTCTCTCCACGCCGCGAGGCCTCGCAGCGCTGCGCAGCGATGCCGCGCCCGCGCCACCCCGCCAGCGCGCGTGGCGCGCTGCGGCGGGAAGCGCGGGAACGCCCGGACCTCTGGGGGGCCTGTTTTCCGTTTAGCGGGAAGGGAGAGAAAGGGGAAGGGGCCGCTGGTCCTTCCTGCGTTCCGAGGTAGGTCAATGAGGAGGAGACAGGGGAACGGTGAGCGGCGGGGCCACTCTGATGATCATGGTGTTAATGCCGAGCGCGTATGTTGTCGGTAACTTGATTATCGGGAGACTTGTCGGTAGCGCTGGAGTCGAAGCACGGGGGTAACAGTGCACCCGCAGAACAACACTGTAGCGCTTTGCTACAAGCATTTGGCGTCGCAGCCTGTCGGTATCTCCTACGTTATACGGATTGCCTCGCGCTGGAGCAGGCAATTCGTGCCATCCAGCCAGCGGACCGTGGCAGACACCTCGTCCAGCCTCTCCACAACGCACTCCTTGTACGTCTTGCCAAAACTGCCCTGTGCTGCGTCGCCGATCGCGATCAGCTTCTTGACGCGCCTGGGGTTCCAGTTGCGGCTACTTCGAGCTGCCTCTAGTAGGAATGGAGCTCCAGGTTGCCTTGCGTCTTCTCATTTCCGGTGAACGCCCTCGTCGTGTGGCTCTGCCTGTGGTGCTCGAAGCTCCGCGAATAGCTCTCGTAGATCAGCTGGTGGCCCCCGACGCTCTCCTCGCGGCCCTCGTGGCTCAGCTTTGTGCCCACGGAGCTCAGCAGCTGGTGGTTCTCGAAGCTCTGCCCGCAGCCCTTGCAATTCTGCTCGTCGCCCTGGTAGCTCTGCGGGAGGCGGCTCTCGCAGTTCTGTCTGTGGCCCTCGTCTCTCTGGTCCTGGAAGGCCTGCTCGTGGCCCTTGTAGTTCAGCTCGTCGCACTGGTAGCTCTGCGAGATGCCCTTGTAGTTCCGCTCGTTGCCCGCGCATCTCAGGTTGTAGCCCTCGTAGCTGAGCTGGTGGCTCTCGTAGTTGAGGTTGTGGCACTCGAGGCTCTGTTCGTGGCACTTGCAATTGAGCTCGTCGCCCTGGTAGTTCTGTGGGAGGCTCTGGCAGTTATGCTTGTGGCCTGCGTAGCTCAGGTTGTGGCCCACGTAGCTCGGGAGGTGGCCCTCGTGGCTTAACTGGTGGCACGCAAAGCTCTGCTCGTGGCCCTTGCCACTGAGCTCGTCGCCGAATGATCTCGGCGGACGGCTCTCGTACCTCTGCTTGTGACCCGCGTATCTCAAGTTGTGGCCCTCGTAGCTCGGCTGGTGGTCCTCGTAAACCTCCTTGCGGCCTTCGTAGTTCAGCACGTGGTCGTGGTAGCTCAGCTCATGGCCCTTGTAGCTACGCTGGTGGCCTTCGTCGCACAACAGGTTGCCCTCGTAGCTCCGCTGGCGGCCCTCGTAGACTGCCAGTAGGTGCGGCTTGCGATGGCACGGCGCTGGGCGAGGTACGCTTCGCGCGCCAGCGCTGGCGTCGCGAAAGCGTCGGGTTTCTCCGTGCCGTCCTCTCCCTTCAGGCCGTGCTCCTCGCAACCCTCCTCGTTTGCCTTCTTGGTCTCCTCCTCGTCTGCCTCCGTCGTCTCCCCTTGGTCCAGATCGAAGTCGTCGACCGCTAGGTCGTGGTGTCCCGCTCTCCGTGTGCAGGTGCACCTCGAAGCTGTGCTTTGTTGCCGTGGAAGCTTTGCAGGTGGCCCATCGTAGCTGTGCTGGTGGCCTTCGACGTGCCGCCTGCGGCTCTCGTTCGGCTGGCGTGGTGGGCAGCAGGATGAGGAAGCCGTACGCGGTGTAGTCATCTTAGCCGTTGTGCTCGTTGTGACCGTCGTGGGCGTCGTAGTCGTCATCGTCGTAGGCGGCGTCGCCGTGGTCCACGGGTATCTCCACGACAGGGGGGGGTGTTAATTCCCTCAAGTCGCTCGGCCTCGTCGTGTCTGATATTATGTCTTGAGTTGTCGTACCTGGTGTCGTAGTTGGTGTCGTGCTCTGTGTTGCACTTGCTGTCGTGCTTGGTGTCGTACTTGGCGTTCGTCACGGCGGCCACCATGATGCATGTTTCGCTCCATCTGGGGTTCAGGCCAAGCCGCATCTTGTGACCAACCCTACGGATACGGATACGGCTACGGCTCCGCACGCGCGGCGCCATGGAGGCGCGGCAGAGGGGGGGGGCGAGGCGCCTGATGTGCGAAACACTGTGAAACACGATATGAGGAGGAGGAAGGAGGAGAGGAGGAGGAGGAGGAGGGGGGGGAGGAGGAGGAGGAGGGGGGAGGAGGAGGAGGAGGGAGGAGGAGGAGGGGAGGAGAGGAAGAGGGAGGAGGAGGAGGAGAGGAGGAGGTGGGGGAGGGACGACGGCAGGAGCACTGCCGAAACTGCGTGTCCTGAAGGTCGTCCCGCGCAGGCGTGGCAGCGACACGGCGCCAATCCGCGTCAGCTCGCAGCGGCCTCTCCTCCTCCTCCTTCTCCGCCCCTCCTCCTACCTCCTCCTCACCTCCTCCTCCTCCTCCTCCTCCTCCTCCTCCTCCCCCTCCCAACCTCCACCTCCACCTCCCACCTTCCTCCTCCTCCTCCTCCTCCTCCTCCTCCTCCCCCTCCCCCCCCCCCTCCTCCTCCTCCTCCTCCTCCTCCTCCTCCTCCTCCTCCTCCTCTCCTCCTCCTCCTCCCTCCTCCTCCTCCTCCTCCTCCTCCTCCTCCTCCTCCTCCTCCTCCTCCTCCTCCTCCTCCTCCTCTCTCCTCCTCCTCCTCCTCCTCCCTCCTCCTCCTCCTCCTCCTCCTCCTCCTCCTCCTCCTCCTCCCCCTCCCCCCTCCCCCTCCTCCCACTCCCCCTCCCCCTCCCCCTCCTCCCCTCCTCCTCCTCCTCCTCTATCCTCCTCCTCCTCCTCCTCCTCCTCCTCCTCCTCCTCTCCTCCTCCTCCTCCTCCTCCTCCTCCTCCTCCTCACTCCTCCTCCTCCTCCTCCTCCTCCTCCTCCTCCTCCTCGTCGCTCCCAAAAGGGCCGCAACATTCCTCTCGTCGCCAATTCCCCTCGTACTCCGTTTGGCTGTCGGCGCCCGCCGTGCAGCCGCCGCGGGGCGGCGGCCCGCGGGCTGAGGCCGGCCCCGCGGCCCAAGGGGCCCCGCGTGCGGGAGGTGGATGCCGCATATGACCTTGCTCCTCCCTCCCACCTCCCCCCTCCTCCCTCCGCCCTCCTCCCTGCTCTTCCTCCTCCTCCTCCTCCTCCTCCTCCTCCTCCTCCTCATCCTCCTCCTCCTCCCCCTCCTCCTCCGCCTCCGCCTCCTCCTCCTCCTCCTCCTCCTCCTCCTCCTCCTCCTCCTCCTCGTCCTGCTTCCCCTCCTGCCGACGACGGCGACAAATATGAGCCAGAGGTCGACGCTCTTGTACTCGTGGTACGCGGCGAACGCGTGATCCCAGCAAGCCCCGCCCTCGCAGCGCGAGTCCCCGACGATGGTGGGCTCGAACACCCTTTTCACTCCGAGGACCTCGAAGTGGGGACGGCGTGGAGCGGGGGGGGGGAGGGGGAGAGCTCTCGACGGTTTCCAGCCCGGGGGTGCTCTCCAGCAGCTGCACTTTGCCGAGAGCGTTCCTGGGGTGCCCGGATCGTCCCGAACTGCCGCCTGAGAGCAGAGCTATGACCCGAAAGTAGGGGGTTAGGGAGGGAGAGGGAGACGAATCTAGGAGCAAAGACAACATCGGGCCGGGACATATCGGGAATCTCTGAGACCTGGTGGATCTGGGAGATGTATCGGGCGCTGCGGCCTTCTCAAAACGCTCCGGCGCGCTCTGGACTCTGACTCGGAACGACTGCGAAGCCCCTGGAACAAGGCGAGGGGGAAGGAAGGGGGAGGACGGCGACGACGAGGGAGGAGGGAGGTTCCGCATCCGGATTTGCAACAGCTGCGAGGCCAAATTGTTCATTGGGCGTCAGAAGGGGCAGCGCGCAAGAATCGAAGGGAAGGGGGCGACGACGAGAAGGAGGAGGAGGAGGAGGATGAGGAGGAGGAGGAGGAGGAGGAGGAGAAGGAAAAAGGAGATAAGGTCCCAAGGGCTCCCAACCTCGAAAATGGAGGTTCCGATTTCCACTGTGGAGGGATTCGGTTCGTACCCCCATCCTGGCCGAGCCTCCGGAGCCTCAGGACCCCGTGCCTTCCCTTCCCACTGCTCCCCCTCCTCCTCCCGCTCCTCCTCCCATTCCTCCTCCCGCTCCTCCTCCCGCTCCTCCTCCTCCCGCTCCTCCTCCCAATCCCAATCCCAATCCCAATCCCAATCCCAATCCCAATCCCAGTCCCAATCCCGATCCTCCTCCTCCTCCTCCTCCTCCTCCTCCTCCTCCTCCTCCTCCTCCTCCTCCTCCTCTTCCTCCTCCTCCTCATCCTCCTCCTCCTCCTCCTCCTCCTCCTCCTCCTCCTCCTCCTCCTCCTCCCCTCCTCCTCCTCCTCCTCCTCCTCCTCCTCCTCCTCCTCCTCCTCCTCGGCCCACGGCGGCGAGGCGGCCAAGGAGGGGCCCGCGGCGGTCGAGGGCCTCAGGCGTCGGCCGCCAGCCGGCGCCGCCGCCGCCGCGGTGGGCGCATGCCGCTCTGCAGCCCCCGTGCACGCCAACGGCGAGGGGGGGGGGGGCCGAGACGCTTGGCTGGCCCAGCGAGCTGAGCTGGCAGGGTGAGCCTGGTCCGCTCCTGCGCACCGCGGCCTGGGCGGCGAGCTGAGCCTGCAGGGTGAGCCTTCGCCGCTCCGGTGCACCGCGGCCCGGGCTTCGGCTTCGGCCGTGGTGCGCTCCGAGGTGCCCCTCGGGCCAGCGCGGCCCGGGGGAGGCAGCGGCTCCTGGGCGGACGCCCTCCCTGTCCGCCAGCGGCCGCGGCGGAGCTGGCGCGGCGGCGCCGAGACGGAGGCGCGCGCGCAGCGCAGGCGCTCGTGCTGAGCGCCCACGCCGTGCGGGTCCTGGTGGCGCGGGGCGCGAACCGCACGGATGTCTGCGGCGTCGCCCCAGCGCGGGCCCAGGCAGTCGCTGGCGGATGCAAGTGGCTCCTGGGATGCCCGCCCTAAGGGTAGGGCGGACCCAATCTTACTCCAGGCTGGTGTGCTTCGAGCCTCACCTGATGCCCCTGTTGCAGGGGGGGGTCACTAAGCCACGCCTCTATGGCCCCTGAACCTCCAACAAATTCCTTCTGCCTCCGACATCGCCATCCCTCTACCTCCCTTTTCTCCTCATTCTTCTTCCCGTGATCATCATCCTGTCCCTCCCCCCCCCCTCCTGCCTTCTCCTCCTCCCTCCCTCCTCCTCGCCCACCCAAGGCCTCCCGAAGGCACGTCGCCAGGTACACGTCCTCGCCCCAGTCGCTGTAGGGCAGCGACATGCACTTGTAGCCCTCCTCTAAGTACAGCGTTGCCGCCTTCGAGAACGGAGTTCCTCCTCCTCCTCCTCCTCCTCCTCCTCCTCCTCCTCCGAGACTGGTCGAAAGGGCGGGCGGGGCGGGGCGCACGAGACTTCCTCACGATGTATGACATTAGCGCTAAAACATTGGCAACAGCTTCACAGATGGAGGGCGGGCCGCATTCAGAATGTGGCTCTCGCCTTAGCGCCGCGCGCCTTCGTCTTAAACATGTGCAAGAACGTCACGGATTGAGGGCGGGTCGTTTTCAGAATATGGCCCTCGCCTCAGCGCCGCGCATACTCGTCTTAAAAACTTGCAAAGAGTTTCATGTATTGAGGGCGGGTCGTTTTCAAAATGTAGGTCTCGCCTGAGCGCTGCGCACATTCATCGTAAATACATGCAAGACTTTCACGGATTGACGGCGGCTCGCCTTCCAAATGTGGTTCTCGCCTTAGCGCCGCGCACACTCGGCTTTAACCTTTGCAAGGGCTTCACGGATTGAAGGCGGTTAAATTTCAAAATGTGGTTCTCGCCTTAGCGCCGCGCACACTCTTCCTAAAACCATGAAAGAATTTCACGGATTCCCATGGTCAAGGTACCAGACACGGTTTTTTGGAAGGGCTCAGGATTGTGAGGGTGAAACAGTTACGTTGGTTCGCGGTGAAGTCCCAAGAACGGTGCCCTGGCACGATTCAGGATCGTCAAGACGCAACCGTCAAGTTGATCCGTGAGGTTGGAGTCCCGAGAATGGTGTGTTGGCACGCTTCAGGGTCTTCAAACGGTTGTCTCCCAACGAGGCAGTTCGCTCAGTAGAAATGTGTACCCTTGCACGGGCCTGTGAAGAGGGACCTTGGTGGGACGGATACTTCCAACATCGTTGATGAGTCATGCGTTTGCACTGCTCCTCCTACTCCTCCTGCTCCTGCTCCTGCTCCTGCTCCTGCTCCTGCTCCTCCTCCTCCTCCTCCTCCTCCTCCTCCTCCTCCCCTCCTCCTCAGAAGCAACGTCCTCCTTGCCGCATCCCGAGGCCCGCCGAAAGGGCGGGCGGGGCGTTCCGAAGGATACTTCCTCACGATATATGGCCCTAGGGCTAAAACGTTGGCAACAGGTTCATAGCTGGAAGGCGGGCCGCCTCCAGAGGGCCGCTCTCGCATTAGCTCCTCCTCATTGCAGTCCTCCTCCTCCTCCCCCTCCTCCTCCTCCTCCTCCTCCTCCGCCTCCTCCTCCTACTCGACCTCCTCACCCTTCTCCTATCTTCTCCTTCTCATCCTCAGCTCCTCCAATCCTCCAATCCTCCTATCCTCCTCCTCCTCCTGCGACACAGATTGCCAACAGCGGGGGGTCAGTGAGCCTGCCCCCTACCGCTGCACACAGCTCGGGATCAGATCACCTCCGAGCTCTCAGGAACATGAGGACCGAGCTGAACCGAAATCCAGCGGCCTCGAAAAAACAGTCTCCTCTGGTCAAGGCCTCTGAGAACCCGCTTGCCCCAAGCCGAGGGGTGCCCACAGACCTGGCCCAGCTTCACAACGTGCTGGGTGCTCATGGCCCCACACTTTACACAGATGAAACCGCACGAAATATCGCCGCGCTCCTCGCTAACCCACCTTCTCAGAGCGTGCCCCCCAGCGAGGACGACACGACGGGGGGGAGCACTCGGTGGTGGGGCGAGGGCGGCGGTGGCGGCGGCGGCGGCGGCCAGCTCGCTGGCCTGGCGCCGCGCGGCGCGAGCCGCCTTCATCTGGGACGCCGTGAGGCGCTCGGCGTCGGTGGCCGCGAGGGGAGCGGCCCTGCCTACCTGCTCACCCACCGCGCGCACGAGCCTCGAAAACTCCCGACACCGATCGCGAAGCACGAAATCCACGCGCCCCTGACCCGTTATCTTCTTCGCCCAGTCGTCGGCAAAACGATTGCCCGCGAGAAGGCGTGGGTCGATGGAGCGGCGCTGCTCTGGGGTGGGGTGGGCCTTGACTTTGACAAGCGCGACGGAGGCGGGCCCCGCCCCACCCCAATCCGCCAGCTTCGCCCAGAGAAGCTCCCAGATGTCAGCATGGGCAGAGAGCAAGGCACAGCATGCCTCCCGTCCACGCTTAACAATGCCTGAGAAAACAAAATCGCTGTCCGTATGGATGGTGACGGGTGGCACGGCAACTCTGAGAGTGTTCAAAACCGCCACCAGCTCAGCACGATCAATGCACTGAATCGGGCCCTCGACTCCGCCTCCGAAGACAACCGAAACTCGAAAATCGTCGAGCGCCCTCGGAGGAGGAGGATCAGGATGCATGGCAATGACAGCCCAACCAGTGACAACAGCATTGGGCACATCGTGATCATACATCGAGCCGTCAACGAACAAGTCCCCAGTGAGCCGGCTGCGCTCACCAAGGTAGAACTGCTCTGGCGCGGGCTCTGGCCGCTGCGGGAACCTGTCGAAAGGAAGAAGCACACGGCTGCCAAGCAACTGCACGAGCTCTGTGGGTTCCTGCGGCAGGACTCGACGGAGAGGGCCTGCGGGCTGCAAACTGGCAGAGACCAACCCGTCACACAACAGATGACGGTGATACAAAGTGCCAGGAAAAACTGTGACAGATACGGCAGAGCGGGGACTGCACATATTTAGCCTCGAACATGCGCTGCTGCGTCCACTGGGCACCGATGGCGACAGAACGAAGATAGGCCTTTTCATCAGGCGGCAGCGGCGAAGAGCGACCAAGCAGACCGAGGACTGGCTCGAGCAAGATGCCTGATTTGAGCTCGGGGCAGTCAAGCGTAGTGCTGATCTGCTTCCACTGCCAGGCCTCACAGGCCAAGTCAATGAACTTCCTTAACCCATGGACACAAGATGTGGCCGGCTGTATAGTGAGGCCCCAGGGGGAAATCCAAGAACTAAAACCGTTAGCCTGAATTCCCAACCGATCGAGCGTGGCCAGGTAGGCCGTGAAGGGCCCAGCAACAGATTGCCACGGACTGCCTTTGCTGGATCGGGCTCGCTGCTGGGCCTGCCCAATTCCTTGAGTTATTATGTGCTGGGGGACCCACTGCTGCTTCCACGCGGCCAACATGGCGCAAAGCGGGTCGGCGGAAGCCTTAAATATAGGGCCCACCCGACTGCCAGGGGTGAGCAGGAGACGGAGCGTGAGGGAAGCGGAGCTGGTGGGACCCTGACTGCCTACCAACTGCCTAAGCCTCTGGAGCTCTTGCCCATTGGTCCCAGTGATACGAGTGCCATAAGAGACGCTGGTTTCCACGGTGGCTTTGACCCTGCGAGCGACGAGTCGGCGACGTTTAGCTTTTTGCAAAATCTTTAAGCGCCTCGAACGGACGACGGCAGCAGCCGAGCGCTCTCGCTTAGTGGTGCGATCCAACCTCCGCCCAGACCCAAAATCAACCCCCAAGTTCCTCTCAGAGCGAGAGCGCTGCCCTCCCAGGCATTTAAGGCTGGCCTCTAAAGACGTCCTGAGAGGGGCTACACTACTCATGAAGCGCGTCTTATCTTTCGCCACCAACAAGTCAACTTTTCCAACTGACGAGCTAACTCGCAGCCTGCTGCAGTGAGATCTTCACGGACGCGCTCCTCTTCACCGAAGCGCTGCAGACCTATATCATCGACAGCTGTAGAGAGCGAAACTGCACGAGCAACTTTGCGCACCTCATCTAGGGGCTGTAGCAAGACGAGCTGCGACATCATCGTTGCGAAAACGCAACCTGGCAGGACACTCTGTTCTGAATGTATGGGCTCCGACACAACAATGCCCATGTCTAAAATCCGCGGCTGACGATACAGCTTGATAAGGAGGTACAGTAGTCTCATCGGGAAACCTGTGCGCTCTGCGGCGGCCACAAGGTGGTGGTGCCGAATGAGCTCAAAGGCCTTTTTGAAGTCCACCAACACCGTCCCAGACGCCATCCCTTGGCCATGAGCCCACTCGGCCCACGCGGCCTGCACCCAGACGCACTTATCTGCGGCCTTGCAGCGGGTCCCCCAAGAAAAGCTTCTAAAGTCTCTTCTCTGCCAATCCTGGATCTCGGACTTCCGTAAGCGACACAAGACCCTCGCGAGCACAGGCAAGAGAGCAATCGGCCGAAAACCACCCAGACGTTTGGCCAAGAAGAAAACCTTGACCCACGCGGTGGGCCAGTCGAGCCTCAGCTCAATCAAATGCAAAAGCTCACAAAGCGCGTCCAGGCCCTCGAGGCCCAGGTGCAAAAAGTGCCGCGGGTTTACACAATCATAACCTTGGCCCGTGGTGGGCTTGTAGCTTCTGAGGACTGCTAGCAGCTCAGGGACAGTAGGGCGAGGAGGAGGCTCAAGGAGGGAGAGATCTGGCCAGGAAAGCTCAGGGTGGGGCTCTGAGACGCACCACCATGACTCCCATTCAACCCTGAGCTGCTCAATTTGTTCGGCTGAGCCTAAGGGGACGTGATCGACCGTCGTGTCGTCAGGCGTCCATCCTGTAGGCACCTTGGAGAAACTGAACAGAGCAGATGCGCCCTGCTCAGTGCTGTGCTTGTGAACCCAGTCCTCCCACCCCCGCTGCTTGGCTCGCTGGCTGGCTCGAACAGCGACCTCAGCTTGCTGCTGCGCAAGCGTTTTTTAAACTTGCAGGTGGGGTGTGGAGAGAGGGAGGCTATGGAGGACGAGTTTAGCAACATTGATCGCTAGCTGGCACTGGCGCGGCAACGAGATAGCTCGGCAATGGCGAGTGAGACGGCGCCTCCGAGTCACAGCATCCCAGCCGCCCTGCAGGTTGCCGTAGTCCAGCAGCGCATGTGCCAAACCTCGCCACCAGGTAGCTTCAGCATTGATCTGCGGAAAGGGCACCGAACATGGCCGCGGAGGTCGAAGAGTCTTTAGACGAGGTGCCTCTCCACGGCCTCGATAGTACCCGGCCTGCCGAGGCTCCACATCAAACACATTCAACCATTTAGCTTCCGCAGCCTCGATGAAAGCAGCCCAGGCTGTGTCAACAGTTACGTCGGGCTGCCGCATGTCGTCGCCGAGCTGCTCCCAGTTAGGCTCATCGAATTCCCTGCAGCTGCCAATGGGAGCGTGAGCTGGAAACTTGCGCGGCTGCTGAACGGCGCGAACTTCTGGGGGCCGGCGGGGAACCTGAAGCCGAATCTGAACTGCACGATGCGGACTGATCGCGATGTGCTCCAGAACGGTCAGCTGCGCTCCTGCCGCTAGGAAGGGCGACATCACGAAGTAGTCGATGCCGCGCTCCGACGGCCTGACCGCGCCCACCTTAGGGGCTACCACGACGCCACCAATGCCTGCCACCCAGCCACTCTCCGTGAGCTCCTCGGGCGTGACTTGCCAGTCCGCACTGAGGATGAAAGGAAGCCCTGCACTCTTGACGGCCTGGCCCATGTCGCAGAGGATGTGCCAATTCCTCTCACTGAGGTCTTCAGAGTCGTGCAGGTACATGGTGCCAACAAGCAAGCCACCTTTCGGACCGTGGCTTAGATGCAGCAGTGAAGCCCTGGCTGGGCACACGCAGTGCGGGGGGCCCTCCAGCTGGCTGGGCCCATAGCGAACAGGCGTGGCAATCAAAGTGCCGCCAGACAAGCCCGCCAGGCTGTCATAGGCGCCATCAGCGGCACCAGCGCGGACGGCGGGGTTGATGGCTGCCTTCCAGCCTGTCTTGCGCAACGCCTGCTCCTGCGCGTCACGCTGACGCTGCGGCACCTTGTGCTCCTGCACAAGCGCCAAGTCACACTCATACCATTCATCAGATTGTCTGAGCAGCTCAAGCCCAGGCGTGCTCGTAACATTTGCCGTGAGAACTGTCAACGGGTGGCACTGCGGGCTACCCCAACTGCGGTGGGACGTAGTAAGTGCTGCGCATCTTCTTGAGCGCCTGGCCGAACAGCTCGATGGCTCGCTGCTTGATGGCCCGCTTGGCACCCTCGTCGAGATCCATGTCATCATCGTCGCCGACTGCGCTGGCACAGGCCTCGAGCAGCTTCTGCTCGTTTCGGGCTGCCCATGCACGGGCACGCTCATCAGGGTCAGCGCCACCCACAGGAGCTGCAGGAGGCGGCGCAGCCTGCCCTGCACCCGCTGCCCCTGCCGCCGCGAGGCCGCATCCCGAAGGGAGACCCGCGCTGGCGGCGCCAGGCTGGGCACCGCCTGACGGGGCGGTGCCAGCAGGCGCAACAGGGGGGGGGGGGTGCTGGGCTTGCGCGGCCTTCGCCTGCAGCTCCTGCTGGGCGGTTGCCAGCTGCGCCGCCACCTCCGTGAGCTTGGCCTCGAGCTCGGCGTCGCCAAGCAGCCGCGCCTGCTGGAGCAGCCCGTCGCACTGGCCAGGCGGCGTGCCAGGCGCGGCGGCGGCCGTGCCGCCCACTTGCGCAAGGGCCGCTGCCCCGCGCGCGGCAGCCTCCTTCTGCTGCTGCTGGAGCTCCTCGAGCTCAGCGCCAACCTCTGCTGCCCAGCGGACGGCACGGTGCAGGTTCTCCTGCGCCTTGTCGTACTTCTTCTGCACCTTGTCAAGCCGATCCGTGAGCACGTCACTTTCCTTCTGCACTGCCCTCGACACCAGCTGTGGATCGCCTGAGAGGAGGCCCCGCTGGTGCTGGATGCGATCCCGCGCCGACTGGCTGAGCGTGTCCGCCACGGCCTCATACGAGGCGGGGCCCATGGCGGCGTAGGCTCGGACCTGCGCATCGGTGAGGGGCGGAGGTCCTTTCGGCTTGGGCGCACGTACGGAGGGGGAGACGCCACCAGCCCAGACTCCGCGGGGCTGGACCACGCGCTGACTGGGGTCGCCTTTCTCCTTGCCACAGCGGAGGCAGCGATCACGCCACTCGTAGTTGTACTTGAACTGACACTGTTTATTGGGACAACACCAACAAGACTGCTGCCAAAATGCCATCTCGCACCAGCGGAGGGTGCGACACACGCCGTAGGTACGCAAAGGCAGTGAGGGATAAAACCTCAATACAGTCTCGAGGTGTGGAGCAGGTGGGGCCGCGGATCCCCTTGCCAAAAACTCTTGTCCTGAGCAAGCCGCTACGGACTTGAGCCAAAATGGCTACGGACCCTCCTCCTCCTCCTCCTCCTCCTCCTCCTCCTCCTCCTTCTCCTCCTCCTATCCTCCTCCTCCTCCTCCTCCTCCTCCTCCTCCTCCTCCTCCTCCTCCTCCTCCTTCCTACTGTGCAGCTTCTTCGCCTCTCGCGAGAGCACCTCCACGGCCCCGTACATCATGGGGAAGTCGGGGTTGTCCTTGCAGCAAGAGCGGAATGATCAGCCCGAGGGGGAGGAATAGGAGGAGAAGGAGGAGGAGGACGACCAGGGAGAGAGGCAGGAGAGACGAGGAGGAGGAGGCGCAGGAGGGAGGGAGGGAGGGTGGAAGGGAGAGAGGAATTAGTGTAGATTGCGGAGCAGGAAAGGGAGGATACCGCGGACAGGTAATAAGGATGGGGAGGAAGGATGCGGACGAGGTTCTCCTTGAAGCGGTTGCAGTTGGCGAAGTAGACCAGCTCCTGTGGCCGAACGGTAAAAAACGGTGACAGCCGAGGAGGGGGGTGCGGGGCATGGCCAGTGAGAGAGCATGAGGATGACGGAGGAAAGGATCATCGCTATACTGGCGACCTGCACAGCAAGGGAAGGATGGGGATGCCCGAGTCTTCTGAGGAAAACTAGGAGGACGTTACAGAGTACTCCCTGGACCTGCTTTCCTATGGTGCCCATCGCCAGTTGAGCATGTGCTCCTTCCCTATCCTTCCCTTGCCCCTCCCCCTCCTTTCCCTCCTCCTCCGAGCTCATGTTCTTCCTCCTCCTCCCCCTCCTCCTCCTCCTCCTCCTCCTCCTCCTCCTCCTGTTCTCCACTGACCATATTTCTCCTCCCTCCTCCTCCCTCCTCCATTCTCCCTCCTCCTCCTCCTGCTCCTCCTCCTCCTCCTCCTCCTCCTCCTCCTCCTCCTCCTCCTCCTCCTCCTGGACTAACTTACGCATCCTCTCGGCCGTTTGCGCCTCCCCTATCATGCTGATCCTCCCTCTCCTCGTCTTTAGCAGCAGCATCGTCGTCATCGGCAGCGCCATCATCACCAGCAACATCGTCTTCGTCATCGCCAGCATCATCAGTAGCAGCAACATTATCAGCACCATGAGCATCATCCAACACTCGCGGCGGTAGGCTCAACAGGAACTCCGGCCTGCAACTCCCGAAGTGCGCCCCGTGCTCGTGCCATGCCCCCGTATCCTTCCTCCCGATCTCGCCCTCCGCAGCCTGCCTTCCCCGATCCCGCCCTCCCCACACTGCCCTCGTCCCTCCCAGCCTCCCTCGGGTTCCTGAATTCGCATCCTCGTCCTCTCCTCCCCACCCTCCTGCCCGCCCTCATGCCCCAACCCTCCTCCGCATCCTACTCCACCTCCTCCTCCTCCTCATCCTCCTCCTCCTCCTGCTCCTCCTCCTCATCCTCCTCCCCCGGCTCCTACATCGTCCGCTTCCCTTCTCCTGCTCTGGTTGCTGATGATCCTCCTCATCCTCGTCTCTCGTTCGGGTCCTCCTCGTACGCGCCGACTGAAGATGGACAAGATGCAGTTGACAATGAAGCGGAGCACGACGCAACCGGCACTACCACCGTGACCACGGCCACGTGGCAAAAATTGGCTTGACTACAAAACGTTTTTAGTGAAGCAGAATGTTCAGGCACCACTACTACGACAACGGATACCAAAACTCTCAGTGGTGAATGGGACAACGTTTGCCGCAACAACACCCACGCCACCACGATACCACCTGACTACATCACAAGCTGTGCAGCCTTCCGTGCAGCACCGGACGCAGCACAAGCCACAGGGCAGACCTTCGAGAAAACGATGCTACACCTCGAGGACTTCTACTGCGAGGCCTACGGCTCCAAGGGCAATTCCGTGGAAGGGGACGCAGCTACGAGCTCCACAACACCGAGCAGGAGGAGAAGGGACAACGACGCCTGCGGTACAGCATCTACACCACCAACTGGTGGGCCCGAGCAGCAACAGCGACAGCGACACTCGCGAAGTTACGACGACGACAGGTCGGGGACTCCGAGATTCGCCACCTCGAAGCCTGCTGCAGAAACCTCGCGCCAGAAAGTGCCCCGACCGCAGGCGCAGCCTCCACCCCAACCGCACGGCTCTTCCGGGCTATTTGGCGCGACCGACTCCGCGACATAGCGGACGTCAGCATAGACATCATCGAAGGCATGCACCGACAAGCTGAAGAGGAGGGACACCGAGCGTTACGACATGAACTACGGCGCAGCGGACACGAATACGCCCAATGGCTTGCAAACGCCAGCGACGGCACGATGCACAAAATCACCAAACCGACACGAGGATGAAATGACAACGCACCAGCAGCACGCAGGTTCCACACTAGAGCGCCTTGATCTCAAAGCCACCACCTTCACCAGCATATGGGACGACCCCAACACACGCCACGAGCAACACGAGCTGCTCACCGACATCAGACAACAAGCACTACTGGAGCCAGCCACGGTATGGACGCCAGAACTGTTCGACGCGACCATCACTGGAGTACCTGACCGAGGCAAGGGCACCGACAAGCTCGCTACCAACGACGCAAGACGACTTCCACCAGAGGGACGGTCAGAGCTGACGGACCTCTTCAACTACATCGAGCAGGAAGCGGCCTGGCCATATCTGGCCATGGCAAACAATGCAGTCTAAAGTCATGCTCCAGCCCAAACCGTCATCAGCTAAGGGAACATCAGCCACAGCGGACGGAGGAGACCGAGCACTGGCCCTACCCCCTTGGACATGCAGAACATGGGAGCTCCTGCACCGTGGCCGTGTGCGCACATGGGCGACAGAGGTAGAAGAACTCTGGGACGCTGCCATCGCAGGCAATAGCTGCCTGCGCGAAGCTACGACAGGGGCACTTGGCGACGAAATTGCACACGCCATGTCGATACACTCCGCAGTAGCACTCCTCGACATTAAGCGCTTCTACGACTCGCTCAGCCTCCCGAAGATTGCGCAAGTAGCCGCCACGCTCGGATTCCCAGCGCGCATCTTGGCGCTTCCGCTCCAGCTGCGCCTCACACCATGCTTCCTGAGGCTCGACAACTGCTACAGCATGCCAGTATACGCGGAACGATCGCTCCTGGCTGGAGCCAGACCCCCCAACAACTTAGCACGAGCGCTCGTCTACTTCGTCATGCGTCAGTGCAGCAGCCGCATTACCAGGACGCAGCCCAGAACATGGTTCGACGACATCGGGATCCAGGTCTTCGGCTCAAAGCAAGCGGCCCGCAGCCTCCTCGTAGACGCCACAGAAGTACTCAACGACGATCTACACCAACAAGGCCTAGAGGTAGCCCCCAAATCAGTAATCATCAGCAGCGACTTCAGCAACACCAAGCACATGGTCCAGGACCTCCGAGACAGCGGCATCACCATCGAAGGCGCCACCGAGGGCAAGGATTTAGGCGTAGATCGTGCAGGGCGAACTTGCACACGACGACGCACACACCATGCCCGACGCGCCAACGCATGGAAGCGAATCAGCACAGCTGGCAAAAAGCTCCGACGAGCCAAGAAACAGCGCACACGGGAACAACTACAACAAGGGGCGATGGCATCGAGCACGTGTCTACGGGGCACCACCCGACGAGAGACGGCAAGCACGACGAAGCTATGGGCAAGCTCTACGACGCGCATGGCCCGGACGGTGCCTCGCAGCCCTGGTGCACCTGGAAGGACAGGACCCCGAGATCAGCATGCTCAGAGCGCAGTTCGACGCATGGATCGACCTCTGGGCATCGAGCAACACCATCAGGCAACGCATCAAGAGAGTATGGCACACCATCAAGCAGCAGCTAGCCGGACACGACCAACGACTACGATGGCAACTCAAGCGCGGCATCATCGGCCCCATCATCCTCATGCTCTGGGAACTGGACTGGCAGCCACACGATGCCGACCGCTGGGAAGACCCAACCGGCGACACATGGCTACTCACCGACGGCGCAGCCGACGGAGACCCGACAGACGTCACCAACGCCATGTGCCAACAGCTTGAACAGAGACAATGGACTCAAGCCAGCAAGCACCACAACGGAAGCGCCCTCGAACACGGAGCAGACCTCGACGACCTCAAGCGCCACTCAACCCACCTACGACGGAAGGGCAAGCACGACAGACACGGAGCGCAGCTAGCCGCAGCATGCGCAGGAACGCGGTCGCAACTGCGCACTGCGGACGCTTCTAGCACCTCGAACCTCTGCGCATGCGGGGCCGTCGACGACGACTGCCACAGCATCTGGGGAGCCTGCTCATGCCGACCAGACCACACAATCGACCAGCGGACGGACCACTTGCGGGACTGGAGCTGCAGAGGGGCTCGACACCGACGCAGCGTTCTGGCTACGAGGGACAACGCCCAAGCCAAGGACATGCCCACCACCGTGCACCACGGAACCGACAGACGCCAGAGAAGGCGACGCTGTACACGGCACCCTGCAGGGGGAGGAGGAGGAGGAGGAGGAGGAGGAGGAGGAGGAGGAGAGAGGAGGAGGAGGGGGAGTGAGGAGGAGGAGGAGGAGGAGGAGGAGAAGGAGGAGGAGGAGGAGGAAGGAGGAGGAGGAGGAGGAGGAGGAGGAGGAAGAAGAAGGGGGAGGAGGAGGAGGAGGAGGAGGAGGAGGAGGAGGAGGAGGAGGAGGAGGAGGAAGAAGAGGGGGAGGAGGAGGACGAGGAGGAGGAGGAGGAGGAGGAGGAGATTGAGGAGGAGGAGGAGGAGGAGGAGGAGGAGGACTGAAGTTCTGCGGCGATGGCAGCGGCGGAGCGGCCTCAAGCGGCAGACGCTGCCGAAGATGTGGTTGGGGCTGGGTACTCGTGCCCGACGATGACACTATACAAGCAGCAGCGCGAGGACCACTACCTGGAGCACGACAAACGAACAGTAGAGCATAAGCGGGGGCGCTACTGCACATATTGCAGAACTCCCGCGGACGCATCGAGTATTGGACCGACCCCGAGGTACTCTGCGAAGGATGGAGAGCCCAACGCTTCAACAGCAACAGGTACCACCGCAACAACGGCGACATCTGGAGGGACATCAAGCTCGCCATTCAGTCGCGAGGAGGATCCCACCAGGACATCACCATACGACACCTGAGAAGCCACGAGGACTGGGAAACAGCAGCGGCACGACGCGTACCAAAGTGGGCTTGGAAGGGCAACCAGGAAGCAGACGCACGAGCAGGCACAGCAGCAGACGAACATGCACTACCACCAGCTCAACAAGGATGCTACGAATGGGCAAGAGCAGTCGGACAACTCGTACGACAACGCATCACTCAGGCGACTATCCACACCATCGCCAGACGACCTCCCACGGCACGGGACGATCGCGATGAACCCAGAGCAGCAGCACGAGAAAGCACGCTCAAGCCGCCACGACTCGACGAACTGGCAGCCAGCAGCGCACACCGACGAACCAGAACGAGAACGGGAGGAGGATGAGGACTGGGAGGAGGAGGAGGAGGAGGAGGAGGAGGAGGAGGAGGAGGAGGAGGAGGCGGAGGAGCGAGGGAGGAGGAGGAGGAGGAGGGGATAGAAGGGGAGGAGAGGAGGAGGAGGAGGGGGAGGAGGAGGAGGAGGAGGAGGAGGAGGAGGAGGAGAGGAGAAGGAGGAAGGAGGAGGCGGAGGGAGGAGGAGGAAGTGAAGCATGCAAACAGGAGGCCATCACAAGACCGAACAATGGCGAGGTGGTGGCCGTCGACGCAGCGCGCAGCCATCCCCGCCCCATCATGCAGGCGGCGCCGGCCAAACATCACGCGAAGGGCAGGTGCCCCTCCTCCCCTACTCCTACCTCTCCTGACACGCGCTCTACTTCCTCTCCTTACTCTCCCTTCAACACCCCCCCTTCTAGTGGTCCACACCTCATCCTTTCCCCCTCTCCTCGCACCACCCCTCACCCCTCTTCCTCCACCTACTCCTCCTCCCCCCTCCCATCCTCTCCTCACCTCTCTCCCTCCATCGCCCTCCTCCTCCTTCTCCTTCCGCACCTCCTCTCTCCCTCCTTGCAGCTCATCATGTGGAGCAAAAAATGCAGAAAAGAACAAGGCCACTTCTGCTACAACTGCGGCGGCACAGCCAAGGAGTGCACCAGCGAGACGCTCGCCGAGGAGGGCAGGCCGCCGGCGGAAAAAGACGGGGGCGTGCTGCGTGGTCAGATCGCGACGGAAGCACGCGCAGAACAGCACCTTCGGCCACGTGGCACACTTTGCTTGACTACAACACGTTTTGCAGTCAAGCAAAACGTTCAGGGTCTCTTTCCGTGGTTACCTGGGTCTTTGCAGCTGCGAGGAGCCCGACGCAGCACAACAGGCCGCCAAAGGCCAGCAACTTCCAGTGAGAGAATTGGGCACCACGCCGTGAACCCAACCGACGCTCCCACGGAGAGGGTTTGGCGACGCGCCGCGAACCCCGCAAGACCGACACGGCAGCGCACGGACAGCACAGACGAGACCTCGACAGAGCCCTGACCACCTGGCCAGGGCCATCAGCTCCCAGCGAGTGCGTCGGGCGCCACGCCGCGCACCCAGACCGACGCTCCCACCGAGAGGGTTGGGCGACACGCCGCGAACCCACTACAACCGACCGACGCAGCTGAGCACACTGGAAAGCCAGACGAGACCGACGCAGCACGACGATGGCCCCGACAGACTAGTCGGGGCCATAAGCCCCCAAGGAGTGGGTTGGGCGACGCGCCGCGCGCCCCGACCGACGCTCCCAGTGACAAGGTTGGGCGACACGCCGCGACCTCAAAAGCAAAGCGACCGACACAGCAGATGACAACGACTGTCTTCTCCTCCTCCTCCTCCTCCTCCTCCTCCTTCTCCTCCTCCTCCTCCTCCTCCTCCTCCTCTCTCCTCCTCCCCCTCCTCTTCCCCCTCTCCCCCTCCTCACCTCCTCCTCCTCCTCCCCTCCTCTCCTCCTCCCCCTCCTACCCCCTCCTCCTCCTCCCCTCCTCCTCCTCCTCCTCCTCCTGCTCATCCTGTCTCCTCTTTTTTTCCTCCGGTGTTTCTCCTTTTTCTCCTCCTTGTTTCTCCTCCTTTTCTCCTCTTGTTTCTCCTCCTTTTTCTCTCCTCCTCCCCCTCCTCCTCCTTCCTCTACTCCTCCTCCTCCTGCCTCCTCCTCCTCTCCTCTCCCCTCCCCCTTTCCTCCTCCTCCTCATCCTCCTCCTCTCCTCCGCTCTCCTTCTCCTCCTCCTCCTCCTCCTCTCCTCCTCTCTCCTCCTCCGCCTCCTCCTCCTCCTCCTCCTCCTCCTCCTCCTCCGCTCCTCATGCCTTCCTCTCCTCCTACTCCTCCCCCTCCTCCTCTTCCTCTCCTCCTCCTGCCTCCGCCTCCTCCTCCTCCTCCTCCCTCCTCTCCTCCTCCTCCTCCTCCTCCTCCTCCTCCTCCTCCTCCCCCTCCTCCTCCTGCTGCTCCTCCCCCTCCTCCTCCTCCTCCGACGCCTGGGGGACCCCTTCCCCCCGACGCGCGAAACACTCTTACCGCGGCCAAGCGTGGGGAAATGCCGCCAAATGGCCAGCCGGGGGGTCGTTTCTGGACGGCCCTGGGGCCTCGGGGGGGTGCTCGGGGGGCCAGAACTCGGCGCAGACGCAGGACGTGGCATGTTTCCTTCAGGGCCTGGTGGTTTTCGGGTAATAGCTCGGGCCTCTGGCGGCCGCTCGGTACGATCCGCCCAGAATCGAATCGATAAGTCGGATCGGCGATCGACATGAATCGGATCGGCGGAAATCGGCAGCCGAGCCGGGAAACGTCGCATCGGCGAAAATCGGCAGACTAGCATGCCCCCTTTAAGAAATCGGAACCCGCATCGGAATCCCAAGTCGAACCGAATCGGAATCGGAAGCCATCGACATCGAATCGAATCGAATCGGAGGAATCGAGATGAGCCCTGCCCCCCCCCCTCGCAAGCTCTCGGTGAGGCGCAGCTGCTGAAGAGGAAAATATCCCGAGGCTGGGAAGCCGCTTGAGAGCCGACGAACGGCATCCGAAAATTTGAGAAAACTTACCCCCCTGAGCCCTCCCCCTCTCCCTCCCTCCAGCTCCTCCTCCTCCTCCTCCTCCTCCTCCTCCTCCTCCTCCTCGCCTCCTCCTGCTCCTCTCCTCCTCCTCCTCCTCCTCCTCCTCCTCCTCCTCCGCCTCCTCCGCCTCCCCTCCCCTCTCCTCCTCCTCCTCCTCCTCCTCCTCCTCCTCCTCCTCCTCCTCTCTCATCCTCCTCCATCCTCCTCCTCCTCCTACCTCATACCCTCCTCCTCCTCCTCCTCCTCCTCCTCCTCCTCCTCCTCCTCCTCCTCCTCCTCCTCCTCCCCCTCCCTCCACGCCCTCCCCACCTCGAGGGGTCCTCGGCGTGGGGTGTTCGAGCCCACCCTCGTCGGGGACTCGCGCGCCGCGAGGTGGGGCCTGTGCTGGGGCTCAGGCTGGGAAGCCTCTGCCGCCCTCCCCGGATGTCTCGCTCGCCCGGGGCTCCCGCGTGCCGTCGATGTCGCGGTCCATCGTCTTCAGCCGCACCCTGTTGGGCATCAGCACCGCGTCCGGGTCGGTCTTGATGGTCCTCGGGGGAGGTGGGCAGCTGCGCCCCCGCCTGCCGTCCCCGCTCGCCGTCCCCGATCTTCAGTCCCTTCATATTCGTATTCGTCCCCGTCTCCTCCTCCTCCTCCTCCTCCTCCTCCTCCTCCTCCTCCTCCTTCGCCTCCTGCTCGCCTCCTCCTGATTCTTTGCCTCATTGGAAATATTCGTATGCGTGTTCGTCCGTGCTTTCTCACACTAGTAGGATGCGTCCTCGTCGTATTAGTAGTCTTCATCTTCGTATGAGCACGTTCAATCTGATAACTGTGACAAGTGTTACCATTAGCTTGGCTAGCATGACGACTATCAGTACGACTCCCCGATTAATTCGTATCACGATTGCTATAGTACTCGTATTACAATCAAGGCCACTATTGCTAGAATCACCGTTGTGGGTACGCTACGAACAGTACGGTTACTATGGATGTGTCTACTGTCATTCCCGTCCTGTGGTGTTGGGTCCTCGGTTTTGAAGGGACTGCACCCCGCGTCTGCTCTCCTCTCCTAACTCCTCCTACTCCTCCTGCTCCGGCTAGCTACTCCTCATGCTCCGGCTCCTCCTCCTCCTCCTCCTGCTCCTCCCCCTCCTCCCCCCTCCTCCTCCTCCTCCTCCTCCTCCTCCTCCTCCTCCCTCCTCGTCCTCCTCTCCTCCTCCTCCTCCTCTTCCCCCTCTCCTCCTCCTCCTCCTCCTCCTCCTCCTCCTCCTCCTCCTCCTCCTCCTCCTCCTCCTCCTCCTCCTCCTCCTCCTCCTCCTCTTCCCTCCTCACATCCCTGCCTCTGCCCTCCTCGCAAGGCCTCCGTGGCGGTGTCCGCATGCGGTTCCCCCACCCAGTACAGCGCTTCGTGGCCCCCATAAAGGAGGCTCCACAGAAGGGCTCAGTGGCGGTGTCCGCACGCGGTTCCCCCACTAAAGACATCGCTTTGTGACACATAGAGAGCTCCACCGACGGCCTCCGTGGCGGTGTCTGCATGCAATTCACCCACCCAATTTTCGTGGCACCGTAGGGAGCTCCACCGACGGCGTCAGTGGCGGTGTCCGCATGCAGTTCCCCAACCCAGTACAGCGTTTCGTTAGTGGCACCATCGGGAGCTTCACCGAAGGCCTCAGTGGCGGTGTCCGCATGTGGTCCCCCCGCCCAGTACAGCGTTCGTGGCCCCATAAGGAGCCTCACCGAAGGCCTCAATGGCGGTGTCCGTACGCGCCCCCCCCCGCCCAGTACAGCGTTTCGTGGGCCCATGGGGAGCTCCACCGAAGGACTCTTTTGCGATGTCCGCATGCGGTTCCCCCACCCAGTACAGCGTTTCGTGGGGCCCATAGGGCGCTTCACCGAAGGCCTCCCCTGCGCGGTCTGCATACAGTTCCCCCGCCCAGTGCAGCGCCTCGCGGCCCCCCATAGGGAGCTCCACCGAAGGCCTCCGTGCCGGCGTCCGCATGCGGTGCCCATGGCCAATGCAGCGTTTCGCCGCACCATCGAGAGCTCCACCGACGGCCTCAAGCGGTTCCCCCACCCCGTCCAGCGCTTCGTGGCCTCATACAGTGAGGGCGCGCATTAAGAAACCATATGCTTTTCGTCAGGGTATCCTGGGCTTCTTCGCTCCTCGCGCTGCGCGGTGACTTCCCGCAGCCGTTGAAGGAGTTGCTGCGTTCAGGGTGCTCCGGGTTTCCCCTCAGGTGCACCTCGCGCACGGGTTCTCAGAGTCGGGTTTCTTGCGAGGGTTTCTTGCGGCCGCGCCCGCATTGTAGGGAGCTCCACCAAAGGCCTCAGTGGCAGTGTCCGCATGCAGTTCCCCACTCAGTACAGCGCTTCGGAGTCCCATAGGGAGCTCCACCGAAGGCGTCAGTGGCGGTGTCCACATGCGGTTCACCCAGTACAGCGCTTCGTGGCCCCCATCGGGAGCTTCACCAAAGGCCTCAGTGGCGCTGTCCGCATGCGGTCCCCCCATCCAGTACAGAGCTTCGTTGCTCAATATGGGGGCTCCACCGAAGGCCTCCGTGGCGGTGTCCGCATGCGGTGCCCTCACCCAGTACAGCGGTTCGTGGCCCTATCGGGAACTCCACCGAAGGCCTCCGTGGCGGTGTCAGCATGCAGTTCACCCACCCGGTTCAGCGTTGCGTGGCCCCAGAGGGAACTCCACCAAAGGCATCAGTGGCGGTGTCCCCATGTGGTTCCCCCACCCAGTACAGCGCTTCGTGGCCCCATAGGGAGCTCCACCGGAGGCGTCAGTGGCGGTGTCCGCATGCAGTTCCCACGCTCAGTACAGCGTTCGTGGCCCCATAAGGAGCTCCAGCGAAGGCCTCAGTGGCGGCCCCGCCCCAGTGCGGCGCACCCCTCACACGTTTCGCGGCCCCATAATTGGTTCCACCCACCTAAAGCCCCAATGGCAGCGCCCACATGGCGGCACGCCCCATATCGGCACACCCTTCGCATGCTTCATGGCCTCATGAGGAGATCCCCCGAAGGCGATACCCGCAACGACGGTACTCACAACTGCACATGGTTGGGTCCTTCACCAAGTAACTTTTGTCCGCCACGTCCTCGGTTAGACATGGGCAGTAAATCCAATCGACCTTTAATTGCATTGCAATGTCTCCGATTCTGCCAAAATCAGCATCAGAGACACACATTCAAACAGGGAGCCAAGGCAAAAATGCGATCCCCGCCGACCCACCGCTGACGTCACCCGCACTGGCGCCTCGAGCGCGGCCCGCCCCAGAGAGCCCCGGACAACGGCTTCGATGACGGGTCTCATGCCGACGCGTCCGCGACAGAGCGACCATCGAGCGCACCGAGCCCTTGCGCAGAGTCCAGCAAGGACAGCACCTTCTTGCCGCACTCGGCTGCTGGCGTCGCAGCCTCGCCGTGGTCATCCAGGCCAAGGATGCCGCCGATCGGATACGCGCGGCTGGCGTCGCGGAGGTGCCTGGCGAACATGTTCAGATACAAGACGCCCGACCTGGTGGCTCCGCGAACAACCTTGAGGTCCACCATCCCCAAGCGAGACCAGTCCGCTGATCCGGCTGGGGCCGCGATGACCTGGCCGCCCGCGGGAGACTCTGCGACGAAGCTGAAGCCGCCGACGTGCTTCTCCTCCGCCCAGCTGCCGGTCACGTTCAGGACCTTGATGTACATGTCCTCGCATTTCGAGCCCTGGCGTGCCACAGCGACCTGCACGCGCAGCAGGGCGTCCGCCAGAGCGGCCCCCTGCGGGATGTGGAGGAGCGCGTGCGTCCCCGCCCGCATGATGTCGAACCTGGCGCCAGAGATGGTGGTCATGTGCGGATCTCCGGTGGCGGAGATCTGCGTCGTCGGCACTGCTGCCGTGGGCGCAGGCGTCGCTGCCGTGGGCGCGGGTGTCGGGGCAGCGCAGATAACAAAAGCATCGGGATTCGCCTCGTTCCCGGTACCTCCCGGAGGCACGTTGTACTGGAACGTTCCGCGTCGACTCAGTATCGAGCCTCCGTAGCCAACGCAGCCGGGGGGGAAATTCGCGTCGGAGAATGCGGTGTCGTCGTACTGATAATTCTGGCTGTACGCCCCAACGAAATCCTCACAGTCTTCCGGAGTGGTCGGACCAAGCCCAGCTGGACATGAACTCTTGTAGATCTGCCAGTCGTCGGACTTACAAACGACCCCATATTGTGGGCTCGCGGATCCAGTCGGATGTGTGTTGAACACGAACTCACGGGTGAAGGAGGTGAACGAGAACGTGGAGGAGCAACCTGGAGGAATCGTGGCATCGTTCACCTCGAAGGGGTTCCTGAGCGTCGGCGCGTCAAACAAACCTTGTGCAAGCGTCAGCTTCACCATGGCCTCGCACTCCGCTGCCGTTGGGGCAATCCGAGGTGATGGGCATGTCTGACCACCTTGAATCTCAGACCATCCTTGCGGATCCTGGGCGTCCTTCTCTAACCGAAGAGTCCGAACGTCCAGCGCGTAGGCATGGCCGATCTCGCACACCGCCGTCGTCAAGCACTGTACCAAAGTGAAGAATGCGTGCGAGCGGATGCCGAACATTCCCTGCTCCAATGCACCTGCGCGGCGCCTCCTGCCTGCGCGTGTACGTATATATGCGGTTGTGCAGGATCCACGCTTGAGCCGAGATGGCGGACGAAGCATCTTGAACTCTCTTGGGCCGTCTTGGCGGCCATCTTGGACCATCTTGGGAGAACTCGGGACCATCTGATCCTCTCTCCAGAACTCGGGAGGTGGAAGAACGATACAGACACAATGAAATTTCGACTTCAAGAAAAGGTGGTGAAATACGAAAAGTGGGATGAAGACGAAAGAATCCAGAACATATGTTCATCTTTGCCGTCTTGGAGGCCATCGGGGGCCCTCCTGGAGCCACCTGGAGCAGCAGAAGCCTCTGCGGCCACCTTTTCCTCCTCCTCCTTTTCCCTCTCCCTCTCCCTCCTCCTCCTCCTCCTCCTCTTCTTTTTCTTCTTATTATTCTTCTGATTATTCTGCTTATTCTTATGTTTCTTCTTCTTCGTATGATGATGATTATTCGTATTATTATCACTATTATTATTAATAGTATTATTATTAGTATTATTAGTGTCATTATCATTATTATTATTATTAATATTATTATTATCAGTATTATCAGTATTACCATTATTATTGATATTGATATTAGTATTCATATTAGTATTAGTATTGTTGTTATTAATATTATTGTTAGTAGTAATACTAATAATAGTATGATTAGTATTATTAGTATACATTCTTATTAGTATTATTATTAGTATTATAATTATTGTGAAGATGATGATGCTTAGTATTAATAATAATAAAATAATAATAATAATGAAAAAAATAATAATCATAATAATAATAACAATAATATAACAATAATAATAATGATAATAATATAAATAATAATAATAATAATGAAATTGTTAGTTTTACTACTATTATTATGATTCCTCCTCCTCCTCCTCCTCCTCCTCCTCCTCCTC